CAGAGCAGCAGGAAGACCCCCTTCCTTTCTGCTTGCTGCCATCTGGGAAGAATCAGACCTAGTGTGGGTCCCCAGTCCCCCCCCAGGTTCTCCAGATCGGTGAGGCTTCCAGGCTCTCGGGCCGCTCGTGCTGGGGAATAACGGGTCCACAGCTGGGCCAGTGCTAGAGCTGGGGTGTGGGGGGTACAGAAGCGAGACAGAGTCAGGGCTCCGACTGGGCCCCCAACTAAATGAAGACACTGGCAAGAGACGCTCGTGTACACCCAGGTGTGAGCCCTGGGTCTTGGGTTCTGAAAGGGTTAGATGGATGATAAATCCGAAAGGTTCTACCAAGGACAGGAAACGACTAAAACCCGACACAGCCAACTTGGAAATGAACCAAGAGAACTTCCAGAAATAGAGCGTCACAAAGAGAATCAAACACTCCACAGACATGTTTGAAAATACTCAGCCAGAGAAAGGAAGACAGACATGCAGGGTAGAGCAGGTTGATGCTGGTAACCTGGCTCGCCAGAGAGAAAACACAACCCTTAGCCCTGATCTGTGGTTGTAGCTTCTGCCCATTTCCATGGTGTAAATACTCCCATTATGGCCTAGTGCAAACTATGGAAGGGTTAGCAACCGGCTGGCAGGTTCCCAATGAGCCAGAAAGAGCTGACTCTGCCACTCCAGGGCCCGGGACACAGGAGGACGTTGACAGCTGCAGCCAGAATGGCACAGATTTTATCACAACCCACCTGGGACCTGGGCAGGGCTGTGCAAACATCTTTGAGGGCTTTTAAAGACTCGGCTTTAAAAAGAATGTCCAGGATACACTTTAAGAGATAGGCTCACAAACCAAGACAGGCCAAAGGAACTCAGGTGGGGGTGTAAGAGCCTCAGCAGAAAGACTCAAAAGACATAAAACCTTCAGTGCCCAAGACACGAACGAAGGGAGAAGAAAGGAGGGGGAAGGGGGAGGAGAGGCCGGGGGGGGGGAGGGGGGGGGAAAGACACGAACGTATCCTGGTGGAATTACGAATGAGAAATGACTGCTTCAGGACAGGACCAGCCCTCTGGGACCCAGGCCCCGTGGGGTCAGTTTCCTGGGTTCACCTCTCAGAGCCTCGGTTCCTTTCTTTCCATCTGTAAAGGGATCAATTCCTGGACCACCTACTCACGGCGGGGTTAGGGAGCTTACACGGGTGGGTTAGGGTTTGCTTCCAAATGGACAAGTCCCCCCCAAAATGTTTGCTGCTCCTTTGTTCTTATGTATTGAGATGTTGGGATTAGACCTCAAGTTCCTCAATGCCACAGGGGAGGGGCCGCCCTCACCCGGGCCAGTGCTGAGGGCCCAGCTGGTCATCACCGTCAGCCAAGCCCCAGAACCACCTGGGACACCTGCCCATGCCCTCCAGGCCTCAGCTGGAAACTGCAGGAAACACATCCCCGCCCTGTGGCCATGACCATGGCAGACCAACCCGGCCCCCGGCCCTGTCACCTGGGGGTGTCTCCATCTGCAGGGAGACCCTTCCCCCAAGATTTGCCTCCTGGTTCCCGACAGGCAGAAAGAAAGGCAGGAGCTGAAGGCCCCTGTGACCCTGAGCAGGGCACCTGTGCCCGGGGTGGGGGCGAGGAGTAACTCTCTCGGCCCACTCCCTGAGGAAGGAAGCACCATCACCTCCATTTCGCAGATTGGAAAACTGAGGTCCAGGAGGGGAAGCCCCTTGCCCGAGACCGATCAGCCAGGAAGTGGCTGAGGTGGTCTGAACCCGCGTCGGGGGCTCTGAGCCCTCATCTTCGCCAGCCCACGATGCATCCCGCGCCCGAAGCTTGGTCTGGAAGCTGCCTCCGTTCTCCCTCATTTGTTTCTCAAAAGGAACATCCCCAGTAACGAGGACGGGACACAGATGTCGCTGAGGGACCACACGGGCTCCACGGGAGGAACCCGAGCCAGACAGCCGGGCGCACGGCTGAACCCTGGACGGCAGTGTGAAGGCGGACAGACTTCCCGGGCTCTGATGTCCGAGGCCCTCACTGTGCTGCCAGAGCCGAGGTCAGGTTCAACCTCAGGGCAGCGTGGGCCTCGGCACCCCCGGCACACACAGCGGATAGCAGTGTGTGGCCTTCTCGGCGATGACCCCGGACATAAATAATGTCCGGCAGGCTTTGAGGCTGGACTTGGAAGATGCTGATGGGTTTCAGTTGAGAGGAAGCACGCTGGCCACAAACTGCTCTCGTCCATTTAATGGGATCCTGGACGCTGACCCCTCTGCTGTCGGAGGGAGGGATAGAGGGCGCTTTCCTTCAGAAGGAAGGCGGGGCCTCCTGCCTCCATGACGCTTTTTCTTCCTGTCATTTCCTATCACGGGTGCTGGGGGCTCTGTCGGGGCTACCTCTGGGTGCCAACATGGGATCGGGGCGTGGACTCTGGGGCCCTTCTGCCTGCACGCTCCTCATGCCTCAGAGTGTGGTCGGGGGCAGCGGCCTCCCCACGCCCTGGGACCTGGTCAGAAACTCAGTCCCGTTCCCACCCCACACCTGCATCAGAGCCGAATTCCGACAGGACCACGGGGGGTTTCTGTGCATATCCTGGGCCCTGACACCATGGCTGGGTCCATCCCAGACCATCTACCTGCTCTGCCCCCACCCAGGACCGCACCTCCCTCGTCCACTGCTCGTACCCCTGCGTGAGCCACCCACTCCGGGGGCCACTACTCCAGTGCAGTCTCAGCTGCTGTGCTGGTGAATGGTGTCTCCAAAAAGAGACGTCCGTGTCCTAACCCTCCATATCGGTGACTGAATGGGATCCTGTTTGGAAAGAGGGTCTTTGCAGATGTAACCCAGTCAAGAGGAAGTCATACTGGATTCGTGTGGGCCCTCAATGCAGGACCAGTGACCTTATAAGAAGGTCACACAGAGGTCGTACAAAGACAGGGGCCAAGGGAGGCCTGGAGCCCCAGAAGCTGGAAGAGGGAGGAAGGAGCCTCCCCTGGAGCCTTGGGAGGGAGTGGGGCCCTGCCCACACCTCGACCGCAGACTCCTGGCCTCCTGAACTGGGAGAGAATAAATCTGCATTGTTTTAAGCCCCCCAGTTTGTTACGGCTGCCACAGGAGAATAACCATTGCGTGTCCCTAAGAACCGGCCCCCCACTGTGCCCCGAGCCAGGCCAGTCTTCCACGTCATCAGGAATGTCTTTACCTCAACAGACCCCCTGACTCAAAGCACAGCACAGCATGCCTGCTGGCCCCTCCAGGAACAAAGGCAGGTCACGTCTGTGCTGCTGGTGACCTCCACGGGACTGCCTGGACACGGCCAGGGGAGACTGGGCCAGCAGACAGCTCAGGGGGGCTGCCATCACACCCAGGAGGCCTTGTTTAGCTGTC